GGATGGGCCGGGGCGTTCCTCCTCGAGCCAGGCTCCTCGTCCTGTCCTGGGCTCGCTGCTCTGTGGCTGTTGGACTTTCCACCGTGGCCCTGGGTCTGCTCCAGGCAGAACCAGGACCCTGGCCCAGGCCGGGGGCTGCCGCCCAGGAGGGAGCCAAGTCAGACGCTGGCACTTCAGCATTTCTATCACAATATGGAATTGGACACATTGGCCAAATAAAGTTGATTTTACTGCCCGTCCTTGCATCTGCTCTGTGGTCTCTCCAAGCTCTCGGGTGCAAAGCCCAGGCTGGCTCTAGGGATGCTGTTGGTGACACTGCTCCCCTGAAGCACGACGCAGGCGCAGGAACAGTCTCACTGCACGCAGGGCCTGGCAGGTGTGGACTCGGTTCCCAGGTGGCAGGGGAGGCACTGGTGTCCGTGCAGTGGGGTGCGAGCTTAACCTGGACTGTGCTTGGGACAGCCGGCATTAGCATCCTTGGGAATCTGGTTGTCACTGTTGACCCTGGATGTGGACACGTTTGGAGCTGCTGCAGCCACAGGCAGGGCGGCTCACGGCTCCAGGCCGTTCCCTTCTGGTCTCTGCAGGGGGCTGTGGAGAAAGCAGGTGCGTTCAGGCTTCCTCAGTGGGTGAAGTGAACAGTTGTGTGCCTGTCACCAAACCTATAAAAACGGATCTGACATGTTAGACGGGAAGTCTTCTGGTTTTTCAGATGTAATTGGATTTGGAGAACCCCAGCTGGCTTGCTCAGGCTTCATGTGGAGAATCGACTTTTTGCAGACGTGAAACTGCCAGCCTGTTTCAAGGTTTGGGGTGATGCTGCTCGGCCGGGTTTGTCCTGCTCCCCGCCCAGGTTTGGCTGCCCTGGGAGCTCTGCAGGGCCCGTGGGTCCCCCGAGGGCTGAGTGAGGCCAGAGGGGCCAGAGGCACCCTTCTCGGTCGGAACAGCCACCGCCAGGTGTCCTTGAGCCCACCAGGCCCTTCATCCCTTAGTGCTCTGACGCGCCTTCCTGGCGGGGAGCGGTCCCCACTGAAGACTCCAGTCCCTGCCCCTGTTGTGGTGTTCACGCTGGGCCTCGGAGCGCTGGTCACCGCTGCCGGTGCCCGGCTGGCAGGCCACACGAGGCTTGCTGCGAGCCCAGCTCTCTCCTGGGCAGCAGCCCACGGGAAGGGGGGTGGCCATCTCCCTGCCACTGCCCTTGCCTGCCCTACAGGCCCTGGCATACCCAGGGCTGCGCCATTTCCGCCCTCGTGGTGCCAGCGCCTTGGGCAGCACCGACCAGCCCGGCTTGCCTGTGCCGTGCCCGAGGCTGCCCCTGGCTCAGCAGTCCCGCCGTGCTTCCTTGGCCAGTTCGAGGTGGCCTGTGCTGGGACTGGTTTCAGGCTAGTGCAGTTCCAGGCCTCAGCAGGGTTTGTGTGTCACGCCTAGGTCTTGTGGCCCAATGCGATGTGTATTCACGTAAAAGGCACGGGCATCTGGAGGTGGGAGGGTGTTAGCTCTGTGCCCCAAAATATGAGCTGAGGCGCAAGGGCTGTGGTCACTGCCAGGGTCTCTGAGGAGGGCGGCCAGCACAGGCTGAGCGCAGGGGGCAGTCTTGAGTCACAGCTGAAAGAGGTGAGCTGTGCCCAGGCCTCTGTGCCCTGCTGACCAGCTGTGCTGGGAACCGGTGCAGTTGCCCGCAGCACTGCCATCATGTGCTCCTGGGGCGGGAGGCACCGGTATCTTTCCCCTCTGCCCAGGCAGCTGGCGAGCACATTCCGGCCGGGGTTTGGCGGGAGGCTGTGGCGCGTGTCCAAAGCCTCTGGCTGGGCTGGTGGATTAGCGAGGCAACTCTGAAGGCTCTGGGGGAGGCAGTGAAGGCTTAGCAGGCTGGGACTTCCCAATCTCTTGCTCTCCTCTCTCTCCAGGTGCCAGGAAGCCACTGGCCTGGAATCTCAAAAAGCCACTGCTGGGCCAGTGCACTGTACCCGCGGCCTCTGGCTCAGCCTCAGCCTGCCTGGGAGGGAAGGGGCCTTCTCTGGCCCAGAGGAGATTTCCTAATAGGCCCTCCAGTTTTGTGTTCTGTGCAGAGCACTGCTGGTTGCATTCCTTGGCCTTTAAAAAGTTGGATGGTAAACTTTTTGCATTAGATGTTTTAGTTTGTTCTCCAGAGGTAGAAACTTAAAATCATGCAAACCAGGTCAATTCACAAGTTCATACAGACTGAGAAGAATCAGGGACAAAACTACATAAATACAGGTTGGTTTTGCTCTGATGTCACATGTGGAATGGGCTGTTCTGCCAACCGTGTGGCAGGTTGGACTGCTGACCGCCGGCTTCTGATGAAGCACTTCAAAAGGGAGATGACACTTCAGGTAGTGTCCGCGGCTTAGAACACATGGTTCCCGAGTCCTTGCTAGAATAAAGGGACATAAATACCTTTCAGGGGGACCCGTTGTGACTGGGAAGGCTTTGGGCAACAGTCCCTTCTCTGATCCAAATGGAAACCCGAGGCCGGGCGCAGTGGTTCATGCCTGTAATCCTAGCACTCTGGGGAGGCCGAGGCGGGTGGATCGTTTGAGCTCAGGAGTCCGAGACCAGCCTGAGCAAGAGTGAGACCCTGTTTCTACTAAAAAATAGAAAGAAATTAGCTGGACAATTAAAACATATATATATGTAGAAAAAATTAGCCGGGCATGGTGGCGCATGCCTGTAGTCCCAGCTGCTTGGGAGGCTGAGGCAGGAGGATCGCTTGAGCCCAGGAGTTTGAGGTTGCTGTGGGATAGGCTGATGCCACGGCACTCACTCTAGCCCGGGCAACAGAGCTAGACTCTGTCTCAAAAAAAAAAAAAAAACACAAAACAAATGGAAATCCCAAAGCCACAAACTCCAAGCCTTCTCAGCTCAGCTGTAGCAGGATGGACAGAGGGTCCCGCCGAGCTCACCTGGTGGGCTTGCCCCGACCCTGGCTCTAGCCGAGGCCTGTCTCCTGGAAAGGGTAGTCCTTCTGGTCCTCCTGGCCATGCTGCTGGTGGCAGCTTCATCTAGCGAGCTTTCACATGATCCTCTGAGCAGGGAGGGCAGACAACTTTCCGCAACATGAGCAAACGCAATCTTGACATCAAAGGAGACTTCTCTCTCCTGTCCACAGTACAGAACGTTCAGTCTTTGGGCTTCATGTAAACAACAGGAAAAGCTATCCTGCTCCTCCCAGGTGACCCGGAGTCACCACTGACCAGCATCCGGAAACATAGGGATGCTGGGAGCCACCCCCGCAGGGTCCCCGCAGACCTGGGCCTGGCCCGAGGCTCCTGGTGCTACAGTGTGCAGCCAGCCGAGGGAGCAGCTACGGAGAGGGGTTGTGCCCATGGCGTGAGGCCCGAGGGGCCTGGTGGGGATGCACCTGGGCACTGGGGCAGGTTGAGAAGACCCCGTCAGGCAGGGAGCCCTTAGTTGACGCCATTTCTCCTATAGCATTTGGCCCAAGGCCTTTTGCCTGGAGGTGTCCGATATAGTTGATTTGATTCTGTTGGATCCAGAGTGGCCTGCTGGTGACCTTGCCCCCTCCACGTCCCTGAAGGGGCCTGCTGGCCGGTCTTGGTTCTGTCCTCACTCTGGCCTTTCGTGACCATCTGGAAGGTCTTGCCAGCATTTTGGGCTGGACCGTGTTCCCCCCAGATTCATGATTCACGTGGAAGTTCTAACCCCCAGGACCTCAGAACTCGACCTTGTTTGGAAGCGGTCACAACACTGGAGTGGGGGGCCTACTCCAGTGTGAGGGCATCCTCGTAAGCCGGGGAGATTGGAACACAAATGCGGGGAGAGCCCCACACAGATGAAGGCAGAGATCAGGGTGATGCTGCTATAAGCCAAGGACACCAAAGTTGCTGGCAACTGCCTGAAGCCTGAGAGAGGCCTGGAGCCAGCCCTGCCGACACCTTCACACCCTGACATCGGACTTCAGCCTCCATAACTTTGAGGGCAACGTCTGTTGTTTAGGTCCCTCCCTCCGAGGTCTGGGGTATTTTGTCGTGGCAGCCTGAGCAGACTCACGCAGCCAGCTTCAAGTGCTGCAGGGGAACCCCATACCATCAGTGGCCATCCCTGACCCCAAAGACAGGTTCCAGGGCAAACCCTGCTCCAATGCCTGTCCCCTTCTACTGCCTCTTCTCATGTCCTGCAATCTGAGCCGCATCTTGGACCCTGGCTGCAGCAGCAGTCAGCAAAGATGAGTCTGCTGGAACACAGTTTTCTTAAAATCCCACTGGTTGTGTCCCTAGAGGCAGGGCCACAAGGGGCTTGTGGCAGAGGGAATGCACCACCCAGGATGTGATGCTCCCGTCTTTGGGGAGCAGACTGGACACCACCACGTGTCCTGCAACCTACAGACGACCCAGACACCGTGGAGGGTGGGAGTATGAGTGTGTAGGGACCCCTGGTGGGAAAGGCCACTTGCTTGGGGACTGGGTGAGCAAGAGGGAAGCCTGGGGGGGGGGGAGTCTCTGAGCAGGAGGCAGTGCCCTCAAGGCAGTTTGGGGAAAACCGCTGAGAGTGAGGCAAGCCTGTTGGAAGGTGGAAATTGACAGGTAGGGAGGTGGGGGGGCTTGGGCCTCCTCCACAGCTTGGTGGACCTGTGCTGCTTCAGACATGGGGGAGGCCCCTGGCTTTCCAGGAGGTAGACAGCAGGCCCTCCCCATGACCTTGGGACCTGCTTTGCCCCTGATCTGACCCCCTGGCCATCCTCAGGGGCTCTGTCCTGGTGCTTCTGCCTGCCCTCTGTAAAGCACCTTCTAGGTCCAGCTGTGGGGCAGGGAGGGGAGCCAGGAAGATCTGACCCCTTTGGCTGGGCAGGGTGACAGGTGGGCTGAAAGATGAGTCACTAAACATGATCCTGGCTGCAGGGGGTGGGGAGCAGCTCAATTTCAGCCCCTCTCGAGGGCAAGCATGACTGCGCAGCTTTATATAGCTCCCTGCGCCCTATATAAGTTACGAGCAAGGTCTCATCAGACAGAACTCACGCCGATCTGGTCTGGGCCAGGCGCATCCCTCACCCCGGTGCAGTAGGGTCCCAAAGGGACGGCCAACCCCACAGCCCCCAGAATGCCCAGCAGAACTGCCCGCTATGCCCGCTACAGCCCACGGCAGCGGCGCCGGAGGTTGCTGGCCGATCGCAGTGTGCGTTTCCCCAACGACGTCCTGTTCTTGGACCACATCCGTCAGGGTGACCTGGAGCAGGTGGGGCGCTTCCTCCGGGCCCGGAAGGTCTCCCTGGACACCATCCACCCCTCAGGTAAGCAGGCACAGGAGGGACTGGCTGAGGGTCTGTGGCGGAAGGGGAAAGCCAGCCAGGGGGCTCAGGCCTCTGCCTCGACCTTGACCCCTGCCCCGTCCCGGCCCAGGCCTGGCCGCCCTGCATGAAGCCGTGCTCTCTGGAAACCTGGACTGCGTGAAGCTGCTGGTCAAATACGGGGCCGACATTCACCAGCGGGACGAGGTGGGCTGGACACCCCTGCACATCGCCTGCAGCGACGGGTACCCTGACATAGCCAGGTGAGGGGGGCCGGGGGCTGCGCCGGCTGTGTCCCCACCCCTCCAGGCCTCAACTGGCCTCCCCGAAAGGTGGCCCAGGCAGTGTCCGAGAGAACTCTAGAGGCTTCTGGAACGGTTTCCGCCCAGTTGCCCTCCCTGGAGCACACTGGAAAAGCCGGCCACCACTTCCAGAGGCTCAGGTTTCCCTCTCCTTACACTCCCTGGAAAAAACAAACAGGTGACCCCAGGCAGCTAGCCATCTACCCTGGGGTGGAGGTGAACACCCTCCAGGCCACCTCCCCGCTGAAGCCAGCTGCCCTTTGCGCCCAGGTACCTCATCTCCCTGGGGGCAGACAGAGATGCAGTCAACAACGATGGCGACCTGCCCTCTGACCTCATCGACCCGGACTTCAAGGACCTGGTGGAGCTTTTCAAAGGGACCAGGATGGACTGAGCCAGCCCTGCCCTGGGGTCGCCTCCCTGGAGAAGCCGGCGCTGCCCCCAGGGGCCAGGACCCTGCCCCACACCCAGGACCCCTGCCCCACACCCACCTTTCTGGCCTGGCTTTTTCTCCAGGTGAATTTTTATTGTGACACTTTTTACTTTTTCAATAAAAGTGATTCCCAAGCCCGTGGTGGTGGCCCCATTACTGGGCTCCGGCCGCTTCCGGGGGTGGGCGGGCTGGGGCAGCGCAGGCGGCCAGAGCCTCACAGCTCCGCCCCCGGGGACCCCCGGTCCTCCCGCGGAGCCCCTGACCCCCGGCACTCCCGCGACGCCCCGCCCAGGGGACCCCAGAGCCCCCGGCCCTCCCGCGGAGCC